TTAATTCCCAGATCTTTTCTTTGGGAATAAAATGAAAGTGTATCTAGAAGGGCATAATATAGAATGACAGTACAGAATGATCAAGGATGGAAATGTTCTGGATATTCAGCCCTTCCTCCCATTACAGAATCACAGACTGGTTTGGGTTTGAAGGGAGCTTAAAGTCCATCTCATTCCAACCCCCTGCCATGGGCAAGGACACCTTTCACTGGATCAGGTTGCTCCAAGCTCCATCCAGAAAGACAATTCATTGCTGCAGGGCCATTTAGATATTTGCTTTCCGATTTAATTTTTAAATGCTCTACTTTAGTTATGGTTGGTAGTGCTGGATTATGATTTAATGGAAGATTAATGCCCTGGTAATCTGTGTAGTAAAAGAGTCTGTTGGAAGGTAGAACCTTGTGTGGTTCTGGCATACAAGGTTTCTGGTAGAACCTTGAGTGGGTCTGGCTTTGCTCCCGCAGAGCTTTCGGTTCTTTCCATCAGCCCTGTGGATCAGTCACCTTGTGCCAGCTGTACACTCAATTCTTTCCATTTAACCTTTGAGGTTGCGCTGTGTCTGCCCACATGTTTTAATTGCTTGCTGCTTTCATGAAGCTGGTGTTTAAGCTCCTATTCTTCCATCTGCTGTTCACATGTAGGATCACTCTTGTTCCTTGGCTATCTAGTTGTCATGTAGCTGAAGCTGACATGATAGAAAAGGGACGGAAGCACACAAACCCATCTTCTGTTGGCACCTTTGTGTTAGTTTGTTGGGAACTGGGGGCTGGTTCCATTCTTCCTGCTCTATAAGGTCATTGCACAATGTGTCTGCCTGTCCTGGGTGTTTTCTGGCAGTCGCACCGAAAACTAAAAGGCAGAAAATGTTGCTTTTTAGGTAAGTCAGGCAGGTTATTTTCTGCTCTGAAGAGCAAGTCATGCTGTCCTTGATTCATAGTGGGGCTCATCCAAAAATCTGGTGTGTAGTCTCAGCTTCTATGGCAATAATAGCAGAAAAACCATCCTTGAAAACCACTTATGTCTTAAAACTGCCAGCCCCAGGGAACACCTGTTCCTGGGGTCCCTGTATCCAAAAATTGCTTTCCTTGTGTGTCTGCTGATGTGGGAATCCTTCCCTGCCACCTCGGCTGGCTCTTGGTTTCTCCTGCTGTTTGTGGGGTCCTGTGGAGTGCCAGCTGCCCACAGGAAGGGATGTGGCCCTGCACACCTCTGTCCTTCAGCCTGTCCCAGCTCCTGTCCCTGTGGAAGGGAGCCCATGGTGTGTCCTGTCCTGCTCTGCCCTGGCCCTGCCTCGGCTCCGCAGCCAGTCCTGGTGGGACAACCCACCCATGGTCCCACTGGGGTTGCTGGGTTTTGGGGAAGGCCAGGACAAATTTATTATGACTGCTGGAGAGTTCCATGCTCAGAGAACTGGGACCATTGGTGGCCAGGTTTGGGTGCCTGGCATAGGCCTCTGCAGCCGTGGAGTGTTTCAGTCGTTCACTTTCTCCTAATTTCTTAACAGAGAATGGAATGTTTTAAGGGAATTGTTGTGCTTGAGTAAATAAAGGAGTTGTGTTCATTACCAGATTAAGAGTGACTTATTTTGAAACTTGAGGAGCACATTTTCATCCTGCCCCTTTGACCCTTTTCCTTTAGCACCTTCACAGTCACTTTACTCCATTCCCTGGTTTCCAGGATGGTGGGAGTCCCGGCTTTCCTCCTGTGACAGTGCATCACTGATGGAACTGCCAGGACTGTCCTTGGGAAGGGGTGGGTTATACATGGGCAAGTTTTTCCGATGGAGGAAGTTGTCACGAATAACCAGGAGCAGCACTGAGGCTTTCCTGGTGGAGCAGCACAGATAAGGCACAAATTCTGGTGGGTGCTGTGTCCCTGGGCACGTCAGCAGGGATGGGGACACAGGCTTGGCAGAGCTGGAGTTGTTGCACGGGTGTCTGAGGAGCCATGGGTGGGGCACAGCGGGGGTGTGACACTGGGTGAGAGCTGATGGGGTTTGTTACCTCCCCTGTTCAGCAGGACAGGGAGTGGGAAAAGCATGGATCGTCCCAAGGGCATGTTCACAAGGACCCAGGCTCCTCTTCTCCTTCCACAGTGGGGAGTCAGTTGAATTAGCACAGGTGCAAGAAACCCATCCTTTCATAGTTATATTTTAAGATAATCTTTCTGCTCTGCTAACAAAGGGTTCTGGAAGGACACAAGTGCTCTTGGAAACACTGTCAGGGGTTTGTATGTGGTGTGGTATTTCTATCCATTTTTCTACACGAGAAGTCAGTCAGCAGCACAGGCAGGTATCTGGGGAACCCAGGGCTTCTGCTTTTGTAGAATTATATTTAAAGTGATCTGTGTAAATCTTCTGGGAAGAAAGCATCTCATCTTTCCCAAAACTCCAACTCTGGTCTTGTCTCTGAATAAATTTAGCTACAGTTTCCCTGGGTTTTTTTCCCCTCTGTGAGGGCAGCATTTAGTGATGCAGAGCCTTATCATTCTGGCAGTGACTGTCTTGGATTGGTCAGGGTGAGGATACAGAGCCCTTCAGCCATCCTCGTCTCTCTCATGTTCACAGGGCTCAGAGGAGCCACCCTGGAGGTGCTCAGGACATGCAGGAACAGCTTTTTGATCAGGTCTGCTCTGAAGCAATCTGCAAAATACAGAATATGGATAAATCTGTCAGTTATCCACTGTGGATGACATCATAAAGATAATTTCCTATTTTATTTTTAGGCTGTGAGAAGGAGAGAAAAACAGTGTAATGACGTATCTGAATCCTCGAAGAACTTGCAACAATATCAGACTCCTTTCCTCAATAATGCTTTTATTTTGCAGTTTTGGTGATGATGTGTCTGTTTTCTTCCTGCTAGATCTCTAATTTATTTGAATCTGATGAGTCTTGCTCCTGGCAGCTCTTCTAGGAGCAGGGTAATGTCTTTAAGGGAGATTCAGCTGCTGTGCTGGGGGTGATAGATGGTGCTCATTCCGGTGCCAAGGGAGAGCTGAGACAGCAGCTCCTGCCACACCCTCACCAGGATAAACATGGACATATGGTGCCAAGGCAGTTTGTTGTGGGCCCAAGCTGAAGATAAACGCCACAAGCTGTGATTTGAGAAGGGTGGCACAGGATGGAGATTGTTGTAAAGAAAACAAAGAGTGTCAGAGAAACAGAAATCAGTCATGCTGACGTCTGTCAGGACTTCTGTGCTCCTCCAGGGACTCTGAGATCACACAATCATGGAATAGGTTGGGTTGGAAAAGCCCTCTAAGATAATTGAGCCCAACCATTCCCTCAGCACTGCCAAGCCCACCACTAACCCATGTTTTACTTTTCAAGTCTGTTATACTGAAATGAAAGAAACCCTCGTTTCATCCCCCCTCCCCCAATCCCAAATGGGTTATGGATAAAACTACTCTTCTAAGTAGAGCAGGGTTCAGTCTGGCAGAGTTACAGCTGACCCAGGAAGGGTGCCTGGACAGGGTGCCCCATCTCAGGAGGATGGGGAGGAAGGGTCTGTCGTTCTGCCCGTGTCCATCGTGGGGTGCTGGGTGCTGTGTCTTGGTGATCCCCCAGCTCGGTGAGGGATCTCACCCCGTCGGCTCTGGCAGGATGGGGTGGTGCTGGTGTGGGCAGGTGGCTGGGATGGGGCTGTGTCACTGGGAGTCAGCAACAGCTTCTTCACCAGGAGCCCTTGGTAGTGTGTAACACTTGGTACATAATGAATGTGGCTGTGTCTAAATGCACAGGTCAAATGGAACCTGTGCCCATGTCTTTGTCCTCAGCGTTGTCTGGAGTGGTGAGAGCTGAGAACAAACCCAAACCTCTGTCTCTCCAGCTCAGCAAGAGGCAGCTTTCACAGGAACTGCTTTTTGTGGTGGTCAACCTTCTCCACCAAGCAAGACGATGATATCTGTAAAATTCCCTGGGGCCAAGATTAAAAAACTGGTTGTGTGAGTGTTGGGGACCTGTGCTGCTGGGGATCTCCTGGGACTGGCCTCCTCCTGCAGCCCAGGAGCCCGTTTGCTGACATCAGTGCTGGCATGGCCCCGTCCCGGAGCTCCCCTGGGGCACTCGTGCTCGACCAGCCGGCAGGGCTGGGCCATGGGGCTCTGCTCTCCCGAGGCTCTGCTGTCCTGGGGCTCTGCTGTCCCAGGGGCCTCTCCCGACCGCTGACCCCTGTTTTGCAGGCCTGCAGTGCGTGTGCCAGCTGTGTGAACACACCAACTTCACCTGCCAGACGGAGGGCGCCTGCTGGGCCTCGGTCATGCTGACCAACGGGCGCGAGGAGGTGGTCAAGTCCTGCGTGTCCCTCCCGGAGCTCAACGCCCAGGTCTTCTGCCACAGCTCCAAGAACATCACCAAGACCGAGTGCTGCTACACCGACTTCTGCAACAACATCACCCTCCGCCTGCCCCTTGGTGAGTGCCTCGTGAGCGCTGCTGTGACACCCGAGGGTGGGGACATACTGGGCAGGGCCATGGCCAGGGCAGCCAGCTCGTGGGGGCTTTGATCTGTCAGTAAAACAGCAGCTGGTTTTGTCCCAGCTTGTTTCAGACAGGAAAATCTAAACTGCAGCTCTGGGGGAGAGGGAATTTCTTGCATCTTGTAGAAGTCTCCCACACACTGCCCTTGGGTCCCATGGGCGCTAAACATGAAGATGAAAGGAGGATGTGAAGGTGTGCTCTCAGGCACATGGTGGGGTGCTTGGTCTGTCCTGTGCACGGCCAGGAGTTGGACTCAATGATCCTTGTGTGTCCCTTCCAACTCAGGATGTTCTGTGATTCCATGGTTCTGTGATTCTATGAAGTGTCTGAAGAGAACTTGTAACCTCACAGGTTTTATGGGCTGGACTATCTTCAGGGAGTTTGTGATTTGAACTGGCATTAGGTTGGATGTTGGAAAGATGGTACCTGGAACACTAGTGAATTAGGAATCGTGAGGAGCCAGGAGCTGTTATTTGGGGTCTTGCAAGGGAATAACAAAGCCTCTGCCCTGCCTGAGGCCTTCCAGCATCTCCACATCTCCACACACAATGGAAAACGTGCAGTGTGTGAGTCTGCCAGGTCCAAAGTTGTGTAATGAAGTTGATTCAGTGCTTTTTAAAAATAAATATTTACACTAATTTTAGGTTTAATATTTTTGACTCTTCTTCCCAAGATTTGTGTTTAATCCAGGCTTTTTTGAAAAACCTGTAAAATATACTACTTTATCAGGGGATACCTTTTTCTACTTACATCAGTAAGAGATGTTACAGGTAAAAATGTACAAAGTAATACATAATTTACAGTTATAACTTGAATTTAAGCTGCTGTTATATAGTTCTGAATGGAATTTGAAAGGCTGTTGCTATGTCATATAAATATAGGAGGGCAAGCCTTGGGCACTGTCACCTCTTGCTGAACCCTGGTACCCAGCCTCACCTGTCCTATGGGGTAGGAATAAGGATTATTTAAGTGTTTTTCTTTCAGTTGACTACAGAAGGGACACCCTAATTGTGGTTATGCTCTAGAAATAAAGCACCATGCTGGTTTTTTTCCAAGCTGGGATGCTGGTATCTTAGGTTAAAGCTCCTATTTCTGGAGGAGCAGTGGAGGCACATCTGTCATCCCAGTGCTTCAACTGGCAGTTTCAAACCCTCTAATTTTGTATTTCAGTACCCCCCAAAAAATGACTGAATTCTTATCCCGAGCCCTTTGCTCTAAACATTTGGGAGAACTCATGTCAGTCAGAAATGTAACAGTGCCAATGTGGTTTGTGTGCCTCTCTCTCTCTCTTTTTTCATAACTATCTCTATCTATCTCTTTCTATCTATCTATCTATCTATCTATCTATTTCTATTTTTCTATATCAAACTCCTTATAAATTTATCTATTTCTTCGTATCTATCTATCTATCTATCTATCTATCTATCTATCTATCTATCTATCTATCTATCTATCTATCTATCTATCTAT